TAGAGCTGGGAGCTGAAAGTACGGTAGCTCATCCAGGGACAGCTTGTAGCCCGCAGGCCCACAGCACAAGCTTCACCGCAAAGGCTACACTTGCGGGCCTTGCCGATTTGGGTTAGGAGGTGTTGATATTGTCGTTTCAGATATCGCCTGCATGAGAAGACCATACGGAACCGTGAAGGGCAACAGAACCCTGGAGCTATCTCCTGCAGCTTCAGCACAATGTATTCAACCTCACGCCTGCAGGAGGCTCGGCCTTGGTGCAGGCTTTGCGAGGCGCGGGTAGCGACACGTCGGGCTTCGTCGAGGTCACGACAGTTTGGGGTTTGGCCTCGTCTCTATCCCTGTCAGTCCCCTACGCCCGCAAATCCCCGCAACACTTCAAAGCAGCGCCTGAGATGCATTTATGCAAAGCCCATCGCCATCGTGACGGCACTCGGGCGGAAAGCCTTCCTCGGCCACACAGCCACTCGAAGCTTCAGGAAACTCTGCTGCCCGAAACCCCTTTATAAACTCTTTAAATCCTACCAAAAACTAGACAATCCCTAAAGCCCTACGAACGCCAATAGCAAGAAGCCCATCTGATAGGGAATTGGCGACTCACGGCGCTGGACGTCACAGAGAACGCCGTTACACAGGAGGCTGTCCTCGGGTCTAGCGATCTGGCAACGCCTCAGCAAAGTCCTCCGAACAACTCCGGAAATGATGGTAGTAGCCAGTGCTTGCCCCAATGGGAGTTCACAGTACCCTTTGCAGGCTGCCACCAGCATCGCCGAAATGATGCTTGGCATGTTGTTGGGTGAAATCATCGAAGACCGGAGACTTCGGTAGTAAGTAGGTTACAGGTACGCTTATGTGCCATCGAGGCTTAGGAATTTTCAAACAGTGCTTAGGATCTAAGCTATTGCTTCTGCTTCTGCGTCTTTATCTTAAATATTCCTCTGCCGTTGCCCTGTGGCTTTCGGCGGGTTCCGGTGTGTCAGCCCACATCGGGGATGCAGGCTAACTAGCTGGCATCGTACACCAAGGACCCGTCAGGCACGCTTGGTACAGGAGGAGGCGCTCAGGCCCCAGAGACGGACCGGGTGTCTATGGTCACGGGTTAGGGGTTTAAACAACTGTTGAAGGTGTTAAAGAAGCCTATTTAAGGGGTCGAAGAGACTATTTAAGGGATAAAAAAAATATTCTTCGTGTACAAGCAAAATACAAGGCAAAGGACAGCGAACACAAGCAAAACTATTCCAAGGTCCAGAAAGGGGGACAAACATAAGGAACGAAGGAAAGAAACCAAAGAAATCACTGGCCCAAATCCACACCTTCCAGTTCTAGGATACTCATCTCCAGGCAGCTGCCAACTAGTTTGAGACACTTGATGCCGTTGATGTAGCCTCTTGGTGCTTTTCCGCCCCGAGCCTTCAGCTGCAAAGCCCCGGCAGGCCGCCAACAATCCGGGAGCTCACAGAGGGAACCGTCAGGCCTCAAAGTTTAGGGCCTTTCAATCTGGAGGGCTGCTCCAGGCTTCAGAGATCAGGGTTTCTGAGAGGATGCTGGGGGGGGGCTGGCTGAGGCCATGGTGGTAGTACTGGAGGTTCGAGGTGAGGTGGAGGCAAGAGATGGTCGTGTTTAGAGTGGATACATACATAAGCTTTCGGTATGGAAGCCGGAGTTCTCTGCCAGCCGCTTCCACGTTCGGAACTCGCATGCCTTCACACCCGCCATGGTTTCGAAGTTGGGGTTTGTGGTTTGATGTGCTGAAAAGTCGCGGAAAATCCTTACAGGCGATTTCCCACGCAGTGGAGCGTGCTAGCATGGTTGGGCTGGCTCTCCAAGGACGTCTCATGTGGGGTTCAGCGCTTTCACGATGCAGCAACATGTGCAACAAGTAGGTTTTTTGATTTCTTGTTTGTGTGATTAAGGCGGGTGAGGCGAAAACCATGTTCTGGTCTACCATGCGAGCCATGGCATGTCGTTTCCTTTGACCACACGGTTGGACTCTTCCCTCAGTGGTATAAAGCACATGGCAAACGGTGCGTTCCTGACATGCCACGACAAGTGCGCGGGATGATGATGTGTTGCAGCCCTTAGGCGACTTCTGAAGACGAGTAGCTGCATTCGGGGCGGAACAGTACGAAACCAGATAGCAGTTTTGCAAGCTGCAGCGCCTCCACAAGTTGTGTTGCATAGACTAGCCACGAGGCTTTTAATCAAGTCAACAGCATCTTTCGAGACCCTCGCTATGTCAATGTCCGTTGTATTGAACATGATAAGCGACTGCTTCAGGATAATTCAGGACAGGCGGCTATCAATCCGGAAAGATGGTGTTTTGCTAGCAAAGCTTCTGCACCTGCGTGCGAGGACGCGTGCGAAACTGACGTGAAGACAATGGTTGCCGTCTCGCATGCCGCGGCAGTCATGGCATCAGATTCCGACGTGCTGAGGCCGGTGAGTGTCGCTAGTGAAGCGCTATGGTTTTGCATTGTTCTTCCGTTTCTTCTGTTCTTTCTTCCTGCCCTTGGTAATTGGTACTACTGATAATACTTTTCTGAAGCTAAGAGCATCAGTTTCATCCTTTTCGCGACTCCGTTTCTTCCATCGTCTTTCAAGTCGTAGGTGTATGGATACAGTTGCAACCATTGCATCAGTACTTTTAGTCGAAGTTCGAACCGCTGCTGTTGCTGTTGCTGTTGCTGTTGCTGTTGCTGTTGCTGTTGCTGTTGCTGTTGCTGTTGCTGTTGCTGTTGCTGTTGCTGTTGCTGTTGTTGTTGCTTTTGCTGTTGCTGTTGCTG